GCTCAGTTTCATGCTCATTGCTTCAGTGATGCTATCTAACCATCTCATCCTCTGCCATCCTCTTCTCCTTTTGCCTCTGATGTTGATATTGTTCCTTTATATTTACAATATGAACAAATTTTGGAGCACAAAGGTTGATAAGAATTCTTCAGAAGCTTGGAGTGCTAAAATGTAGGGTTATATAGAGACCATCCAATCGACTTCAAGACTGGATCCAAGGTTCTAGAAATAGCTTGCCCCACTTAGATTAGTCCAAGGGAGACCCTTTTTGACCTATTCCCCAGATCAGAAATTATTTAGAAAAAAACAATGTCCATTCTAACTGGGAATGTATGTATGTTCTCCCTATAAAGCCATTTGTTCTGTCTACATGACTAATCATTCAGAGTGACTTTGAACTGCTTTGGGTTAGTCCAGAACCAGGGCCTGAAAATTTATAATTATTTTATTGTTCTCTCTTTGTTGTTTTAAATTGTATTCATCACATTGCTGTATATTGCCTAAAGCTGCTGGCAACTGAAGAGGCATATACATTGATTAAATAAATATATATGATGCAATTATATTGATCTAGATAAACAAGTAGGTCCAAAAGTACCTACTTCTACTGGCTGACTAGCTGAGCTCTCTGCAGATAACAGCCACTGAGAGCTCAGCTAGGAGCAGAGCAGACCTCTTAGAAACCTAAGGCAAGGCAAGGACCAATGGATTGAAATTAAAAGAGAGAAGACTCAGACTGATTGTTAAGGGGAATTTACTCTGAGGTTAGGCTTAGGATTAAGCAGTGGAACAGCCTGCGTGGAACAGTGATGGATTCCTCTTTTCAAATGGGGGTGGGATGCCCACCTGTTGGGGATGGCTTAGTGGATTTGCACCACTGAGCAGTGAATTGGACTAGACACGTTATAAAGTCCCTTCCAACTCATTCATTCTGCGCTTCTATGGTAGAAAATTCTGAATTGAGTGAGCATCCTTGATGCAATAGGAGCTACATTCTTCCTTTGGATGACAGACCTTTTGGACTTCTGCAAGGCTCAGGAGATAAGGTTTTGCACCTCAGCTGCTGAGAAGGACAGGGGCAAGGGAATACAAAATCCTTCTATTTTCTATTTGTTCCATTAATACTTTTGTAGATGGAGTAGAATAGAAGTTATAACAGGAGGCCATAAAGTCATAGAATCCTAGAACTAGGTGGACTTGGAAGGGATCAGAAGGATGACCTAATCCAACTTTCTGCAATGTGTAGGAAAACCAACTGAACCATCCATGAGAGGCTGATGTCCAGCCTCTTCTTTAAACGCCCTCCAGAGATGGAAAACCCACAATCTCTGTAGTTGGACTGTTTTAATGTTGGTGTTTTAATGTTGTACAGATCTTGCTGTCAGGAAGTTTTCCTTATATTTAAATGAAATCTAGGTAACTGCAACTTATAATAATTACTTCTGGTTCTAGTTTCTGTGGCCATGAGAAATCATTCTGGGCCACCTTTCCTGTAAATTCCCTTTATGTACCTGAACACAGCAATCATGTCTCCCCTCAATCTTCTTTCCTCCAGACTGAACATACCTCATTCCTTCAGCCTATCCTGACAGGACATGTCTTCAAGTCCCTGTACAGTATCATGCAATATTTGCTGTTGTCTGAAGTGTCTCTAATCTTTCAATATCTTTCTGGAAAGGTATTGTATATAGTAGTCCAGAGGTCACCAGTACAAAATGAGGAAGGTCTTCCTATGTCAATTCTGCACTACTGAGATCACCCCTAGAGTCCATTGCCCTTTGCCTGTAGACCAACTTGAGTCATTTTAGAAAACAGTGCAAATAGCACGTCTGTGGTTTACCATAACAAGAAATAATATCCAAGTATGTAGCATGTCAGCACCTTGCAGTAAAAAAAAAAAAGGTTAATACTTGTTGCTTAATAAAAAAAAGCCTAATAATTGTTGCTTTAAAAGCCTAATAAAAGCCTAATAATTGTTGCTTTTTGCTACAGCTGAAATCTGCTTTCTGAGGCAATGGTATTATTCTTCCTAAAAGCAGAGGTGCCCCTGGGGTACCTGGTGCAAAATTACAAAGAATCTTGTGCCCCATAAAAACTAACATTGACTACATCAGAAGTTATGGATAAAATGTATGCAGCTCTTTTCCTCTATGGTATATCAAATTGTGCACCTGCATTCAAATATTCTGCTTATAATTAGCAAATGGAACATAAGAGGCAGCCCAACTATGTGAAGAAGCCAAAAAGAGGAAGCAAAATGCAAACTAGCATTAAGAAATAGAGATTTATTCTGATGCTCAGTATATCCAGCATTTTTAAATGTTGTCTTTGGTGGCAAACAAATCAAGAGCCATCTCATTAAATTATTCCCACATCGTTTGTTAGCTGGGATTCTTTCAGATTCTGGTTTACTATATAAGGAATGATAAAACATTCTCACACAAACTGTTAATTGGTTTTTCTTGATGTATTCTTCTAGAAAGACTAGCTAAAAACCAGGAAACTGTTATTTATGGTTTGTATAATGCTACCTTCATATCAGGAACTATGCTTGCTCCTACTTAGAAATGCAAAATGAGAAGCCAAGAATAAACCCTGGTTTATGATTCTGCTGGTTAGAAGAGCAACATGGGAGTGATCTGTGTTCTGCTCTGTATTTTGAGACAGTTTTGTGAAGATTTTCACTCACTTTTAAATTTTGTATTCCCTTGTTACTTATATTCGT